CACTTCTACCTTTTTTAGCGATATATAGGTCTTTTCCAAGCGAATTATGCAACATTTCCTTGTGCATGAGCGGAGTCACGCAATATTTTGCACTTCTCTTGAATTTTGTACTGTTGAAAGGTTGATTTTGCAGAAGTTGCAATGTATGCGCATCAAGTTCCTTGGTGACTGTTATTATTGCGTGAGTGGAATGCCCGTGAACAGGCCAAATCATGCCGACATGTGTGTTGTGATGGGACTCGAGATGATTAAAACGATAAAGTTGGTCACTTATCATTTTTGCAGACTGGAAAAAAATATCGTCTTTATTGAAAGATTGGATTTTCGTAAATAAATATTTGATTAACAAAGAGGTATTCACACATTCCAAAGATTTCATCCGTTGCATTCGTATGAAAATGAACGAACTTCCTGGCATTACTCAGAAATCGCTTTGTAAGCTCCATTGTTAGGATATTTTGAGACTCATTGTATTGAGACAAGAAATCAAAACAACAACAACAACAACAACAATATGTCATTCATTCCTCGAAAGCTGGCACTGCATCCTTCTAAGCTCCAGAAGCAGGAGATTTCTAGTTGGCGATTTTGAAGGCAAGTGCGATTAGCAACCGGAGTTGATGTCAACATGCGTATTGGTGTGCACACCGGATCGGTACTTTGCGGTGTTTTGGGTCTACGCAAATGGCAATTCGACATCTGGAGTGATGATGTGACGCTAGCGAATCGTATGGAATCAGCCGGAGTTCCTGGGTTTGTTCGTCCATCTCCAACGAATTCTTTTCCTTTTCTTTCCCTTGCTGAAACAACAATGCGAAAAAAATATTTAGACAATTTCTGATCTCTGCATTTGCCAGAATGATTCAGGAAGTCTTCAATGTGGTAGTTTTTGATTGTTTTCGCCTCAGGGAAGTAGTTTTCCATGCATTTTTAATGGGAAATCTGATTGTTGCCTGGTGAAAAGTGAATGAAGGAGTTAATTTTCAGAGCCGTTCATGTCACGAAAGCAACCAAGGAAGCACTGTTGGGCGATTATCGAATCGTTGAAGCACAGTAAGGTTTTCGACTTTTCTTGAGAGTGCTTTTATTGTGGAGAGTGCTCGACGTTCCTCTCAAATATACTTGCTGAGGGTGTCACAGTTTTTAGTGAATGCATTTCCGCATATAAGAAGCTAAATCACTGATTCATTTGCTGTTATGATACATTATAGCTCATGCATAATCAAATCGTTTTGTTAATATTGATGTCAATATTGATGTTCCAAGCAATTTTTTTTTTTGTTTTTAACTCGGATCAATATTGATGTCAAGCGGAAACAAATTATCATAAAAGTTCTGAGAATGTGAATTACATATGCATGGAACGTTCATCAAGAATGAAGTGTTCTAATAATAAGAGTTGACACTTCCTCAATAATAAGTTACTAAGTTATTCATTAGAAATGCCTCTCAAATGTAGCATGTTTACTCGTACTGCTGACAATCGCAGCAAAAGACTTGTTAGTGCATGTGACAGCACATTGAATTTGAGAAATTGACGTTCCATTTTATCATGATGCAAGAAGATTTGCCTCGGTGATTTTCGATTACCTATGCAAGTCATCAATCTTCAGATCAGATGATCCTATGCTGGAGGCTTTGGGACAGCCAACCTATCATATTTTGCCGGATAAAGCCTCATTGCTCGAACGAACTGCTTCAATTTATAGGAACAGGTGAGCAGATTTGAGTTTCACCAAGTCGACCTATGGAATTGAAGTTCAGAATTCACGAAGGAGCTGATTTATAGACGCGGCTGCGAGTCTTTAAGCTAAAAAAAGCTCGAAAACTAATCCATTCATGCTAATTGACGAAAACTTGAACAGGCGACGAACTGTGGACGTTTTTGGTGACGATGAACACATTGGTATGGGTGGACGAGCGCCCAGTCGAGTCTCACTGAAAGCCAAAGTATCGAAAGTGGTCGAGTATTGGGGAGCCGAAACACCGTTCGCGAATTTTTCGAAGCTCTCAACACAATACGAAATTGACGAGGTACTCTCCATGTAATTTACGGGAAATTTCTTTGGAACGTTCATCCAAATCAGCTTTGAAGTCATCCTAATGTACAAAAAGATTCCATCACGATCTATGAGTAGATCGAAATGTCAGAAAACTCACGTATTCAGCAGCTGAGCTTTCGAGTTTTCGGAGAAAACTCGATTCAGCACGATATTTTACTCTTGAATGCAGACATCGCACCAAGGAAACCTCACAAGCCTTATCCAAAAATCCATGAGATCATCCGTTAATCATTAATTTCGGTAAGAAATTCTCAACTGCGCCGTTATATTTGCAGCAAAATGGAACTGCCCGGAGACCGCATTATGGGAATACAATTCGGAGTATGACATTGATTGAGAATAATCTCGCCAACTTCTCCATGAGCAAGTTTGTCCCATTTTCATATTGTTGATCGTGCAGAATTAGTGTGAGCTAATAATTTCTGTTCGATCGATTATCACCTTATCATGATCTCAACAATTACTGAGATCAACGATGTACACGATACCATCGCTTTATCGAACACATTCCTGTTTTACGTGGATTATTGTTTCTTGTTTATTCATCTTTTCGTTTCAGCTGCTTGTTTTCTTTTTCAAAAATTTCTTCCGATATGTCAGTCTTCCAAAGTTAAACTTCTGACGAATATAACCTATTTTAATTCCACAACACTAGTTAGATATTCAAAAGTTGTCTCGCTTGAAGCAAAAAGGCGATTCTTTTGCAGTTTGAATATGCTGTTCAAATGTACAAATCCAACAGCAGTCGCCTCGCCGTATTTGTTATGGCCATTCAGGTATTTTTTAGGAATCTCTCTTATTCAGTCGATTTTTGAACAGTCCGAAAAATCAACACGATCAACGCTATATCCATAATCGGAGAGCAGCGACAATGCATAATTATTAATTATTGATAGGTGATAGATCAAACAATCGAACACGTTAGAACCTCAGAATGGTTAAGTAACCAAAACTCACCAGAATGAATTGATGGAATGCAACAGTTAAATGACCAAAACTTTCCCGTATAAAAGGTCTTTTTGAAGTGTTCAAATCTCA